CAGCACAGGCCTAAAGCCCCTCAATCTGGCTCTTTGGCTCTCTCTCCTGCCTATTTAATCAGCCCCTGCACTGCCATCTGCCTTCTTTCTAGAATGTCAAGTTCAACTGAGCAGTAAAAGTTGATAAATGGGCAACTACCATTCACTGAGCAAATGCTTCATATAGGTCATAATTATAATTCATTTAGTCTGATATTCTCACAATGGGCATATGATCGACCTATTTCAGAGATGAGGAAACTGAAGCTCAGCTTGATTAAAGATCTTGTCCATGATCACCAGGATGGTAAATCTCAAAAGATCTGAACCAAGTCTGCCTGAGTCTAAAACCCTTGGTTCTTTTCACTGGACCACAATGCTTTACATAAACTAAGGCATAATAATTGACGAACGATGATGCAGTCATTAAAAATAATAATTATAAAGATTAAGTAGCAACATGAAAGTAGTGTTTAAAAGATGGGAAAAATAATAAAGATTCCATTTTGTGAAAAGCAAGTGAGCACAGATTAAGTCTGGAAAGACACATTTCTAAAAAGCAGTTGTGGCTGGATATGGTGGTACGTGTGTGCAATCCCAGCACTCTGGGAGTCTGAAGCAGGAAGATCACCCAGTTTGAAACCAGCCCAGGAAAGGTAGCAAATTAATGACACCCTGTATCAAAATTAAAAAAACAAAAGAAGGGATGGGGTCGCTGGGAAGGTAGCTTGGTCAAAAGACCCTGAGTTTGCTCCCCAGTAGCACAAAAAGATAGAGAGATGATAGATAGATAGATAGATAGATAGATAGATAGATAGATGACAGATATATAGATACATAAATATTTAAAAGCACTTGATTTGAGAATGCAGAGAAACTATGGGTGATTAAAAAAATGTTTTTGAGTTCAGTTTTTGAAAAAAGGAAATAAGTGAACAGACTCACTTTTGATAGTTCCCTGGGTGAGAACGATCACATAAAGTCCAAAGACCTTGCACAACCTCCCAGGTTCTTTATAGTTGGCTTTTCCTGTGTTCTCCTCCCATGTGTCTTAAAACCCAGTAAGCTGCATTCTCACACTCTCTGTTCCTTCTAGCTGAATCACCTTCCCCTCCTTCCGTTTAGAAGGAACTCCCAACTATCTTTCAAAGCGTTCCTAAAACTTGACTCCCTTTATGAAGCCTCCTTCAATCATTCCCATTCCAGGGCCCACAGATAACATTCTGTTCACCTAATGTAACACTTCCACAGTTTACGGATTTTTTATCACGTATCTGCCTTTAACATGCCTCCTAGCTCTTCCACCTGACCAGATCATAAACTCCTTGAATGCAGGATGTATCAAATTTATTTTGGTAATCCTGCCACCTTGAATAAAAGGTTTATTCATTGTTTGCCAAATGAAAGAATACAGTCTAATCAGAAATTTGAAATTGAGAAGGAACATGTCAGAGAGACACAGATACCCAGTTTACAGCAGTGGAACCAAGAGGTTTTTCTGAGAGAAAGTGACTATAACCATGGTCTTTATTTTTTTTAAACTGAAGGGTTCCTGGTCAGTGCTGGAGAGAGCTGAGTGCTGGTGAGGTTTTAAACTCTTTAAGGACAAAGGCAAGCCCATGCATATACTCCAATGGCTTGCTTTGTTCATGGAACTTCTATTTTCCTTCTTACCACTTCTTCCAAAATACACGTTGACTAAGCTTGTGGCTTCAGGTTTTCTGCTGCCACAGGGCTTCAAGAGAACTGGATCTAGGATGACATGGTGTCTATGCAGCCATCACCTTGCCCTGAACCTGAGACTGGGTGGAGGAGGCTGCAAAGAGAGATGAGAAAGGGAGAAATAAGAGAGCTGTTGAGTCAGAAAGAGAAGAGCAGGTTCAGGCCTGAGGAGTTCAAGAAAAGAGCATGGGGTAGGGGAGGAGGGAGGAGAGCAGAGATGTGGGAAAGCTGGTTGAATACACTGAGTTCCTGTGTTTTACAGAGCCCAGTGTTCAGTGCTTCCTATCCACTGCCACTTTTCATCCTCACCACCTAGGGAGTGTGACTGTCCCAATTCTGACAGATTATCAAAACATCCCAATGCTTTGTTAACTTAAGGACTTCAAGACTCATCTCAAATTGTGTTGTAAACAGAGCTTCTCTACTAAGTAACAAGGTGAGCACTCAGCAGGATCAGGTATGGACGATTACTGGCCTTGGGTTCAGGTATGAGCCACATCTAACCTCAATGTAGGGTGACTTTGGGTGAGTTACTTAATCTTCTTGAGACTCAGTTTATTCTGTGAGAATGAAAATGAGTACTTTGATGAGCTACTAAAAAAAGTTAATGAGATAATGTGTAAAAGCATCCTGGCGCACAGAGGGCAGGCAGTAATTTTGGAGAGTGGAGGTCATGAACTTTTCCGCAGAAAGCTGCTCACTGGTATAATTTCATACAGTGGCAATGCCACCTGGTGGGCTTTTCGCTAACAACCTTTTATACCAAAATGCATGTTGCATTTTAGCAACTCTAGACACACATGATATCATCTCTGCTCTTTCCCTTAGGCTGTCCAAATTATGCAATATATTCACTTTGTTACCCCACACATAAGTATCTGAAGACCAAGAACTAGTCTTTGTTGAAAAAAACAATTTATTCTATATGATTTACAGAACCTCACATTCTATGGGAGGGGCAATCCATAGAAAGCACTATAGTGTTCCCAAGTTTGTGGCCAGAATTAGCTTCTACAGCCTCAATTTACACTCAACACTAGTCAATATTTAATATCACTTAAGCTAATAACCTTCTCCCCACTGCACTTTCTGCTATGTCCTCTCTGCACTCTTTTGATGATAATAATGACAGTAATGATCATCTCTTGATGATAATAATGACAGAAATGATAATTTCTCCATAGTGTCTCTACTTGTTCAGAGAGAAATGGGAGAAATACTCCCATCAGACAGTAGAATTTCTGGGGAAGAGTTTACAAAAAGGAAAACATATCCCTACCTGTGCCCCAGCTCCCACTCTCAGCTTCAGAAAAGAGCTCACCTCTGACCCTGCTCCATGAGTGCACACAGCCACAGCCGGGCCACCTGCTCCTTTTCTACCTGCCTCCTTCTAATTACAGCCTGTGATGGAAACAACGAACTAAACCACTCATAAAGTGACTGGAGAGAAAGAGCATCTACTTCAAACTTTCTCATGTTCAAAGTTGACAGACTAATACAAAAATATTTTAGAGCCTGGGTAGACAGAACAAGTGAGCAAACCAGCCCCAGGAGAACACTAAGGCAATTCTTAAAAGCTGGATGTTCTATCTATCAGGATAAAGGACAAACAAACCTATATGCATGGTGGTCAGCGTGGGAGCACAAACCTTACATGCGCACACAGGCCTAGGGCAGCCAGGACACCGACTGCACCTGAAAGTAGTACCCAAGGGAGCCCTGAGAAGAACCGAGAGAGGTGAACTCAGGAAATACGCCAAGGAGCATGTCCACCATCAACCTGCAACATGCACGGAGCCACAGGGAAGTGTTTCCCCCAAACCATCCAGGAAAAACAGAGAGAGGTGAACTCAGGAAATACTCCACCATCAACCTGCAACATGCACGGAGCCACAGGGAAGTGTTTCCCCCAAACCATCCAGGAAGCAAAAGGATTTGGCTCAAAAGTACAGCAGGAAAAGCAAGGGCATCTTGCTTGGTTTTCACACAGAGAAAAGCAGGCAGATCAGTGCTGGCAACTCCAAATCACTCCTAATGAGAGGCACAAGGTTTTGGGATGGGTACCGGGGCAGGATTCAGTGCAGGTCAGCAAACCCAAAGTGAGGTGCCACATGCTGCACCAAAGGCTGAGGAGGAGGCAGAGGAAAACAAGGCAAATCTCCCGTTCTCAGAGAGCTAAGGACCTAGACCACTGTCAGCATGGACAGCATCTTATCTGCTATACCAAAATTCAAATGCAGCATGGCCTCAAGAACAGATGAGTCCCAAGATAAGCTGTGGATTTCACGAACTACTTAGTGTGAGAACCAGAATCCCTAGCAATGTTACCTCAGAGAAAAGACAGAAGAAATGTACCACATACTCCTCTATATGCATGCACACACTTCTGCCCTCCTCATTACGAAAGATCAGTTCTCCACTGTATACTGCCTTTCACCAAGCCTAAAAGAATCCTTTTTTGCTATCATCCATGTTCATTCCTCATGTAGTTCTAAAGGACTCATCGAAGTTTGTCAGTTAAGGCAGTAAAAAGGCTTATACCTAACAGAAGTCTCAGTGAGAGGATCTCTCTCTCTCTCTCTCTCTCTCTCTCTCTCTCTCGTGCATGTATGTGTGCGCGTGCACAGCACTAAGGTTTGAACCCAGGGACACTCTACCACTGAGCTATTTTCCAAGCCCTTTTAAAAATTCTTTTATTTTGATACTGTCTCACTAAGTTGTGCAGGCTGACCTAAAACTAGCGATCCTCCTGCCTCAGCTTCCTGAGTAGCTGCAATTACAGGAATATGGTGCCATGCCCAGCAATGGATCTCTTCAGCCTCAGCATTATCAACCACACTGTCACTTCTCACAATCCACTGCAGGTTATTTGCTGAGTTTCTCTCCTTGTCATACAGTAAGTGTGTCAAACTAAGCTGTAAAGCCCACTACCTCCAAGGTCTCACCATGGTCTACATAATTTGATCTGACCAACCCCCGGTAGGGGATTGCAGAAGTGGGGCTTGTACACAGGGCAAAAGGTATGTGCACGTGACGCTCTTTTTCCTATCTCACTCGGATTAGCGGTTCTCATTCAGTGCAGAAGGCAGGCAGGACACAGATCTTTCCCACTGTCCTATGTAAACACGGAGCAGGTGGAGGAGGAGAATGTAGAGACAAGTAGGTACTGGAAGAAGCTTGTTTCCATTAGACAAATGTGTCTTAAGTACACATCCTACGTCAAGTGATCTAGTGGTGGGGGTAGGCACCAAGTGTTTCATCTACATAGTACCCTCTGCATTATTAATTATTTATGCTACCTGTCTGCTGGACCAAAGGTTCAGGAGCGGTGTTGATTTTATTTGAGATGGCATCTGCAGCATAAATACAACTCTCAGTGTTCAGCAAACACCTGGAAGTGAACAAATAATGCCCTGGGATATGAAAAGTTCTGGCAGAGGAGAGAGAACTGCAAGCACATAGAAAGGGAAAGCTCTTGTTAGTAGGAGAAATTGGGAAGTTAGGGAGCTGTGGGGGCTGAAAAGAGTCTGATTTACTCTTGTTAGGCAATAAAAGTACCATCACTTCCAGTGAACCTGTCATTTGTGGTCGTCTTCTCTGACCCTTCCCCTTGATGATTAGGAGCCCAAGGACATCAGGCCTGCGTCTACATCTCCCATATGCCTCAAAGCAGGTCTCGGCACCATGCCTTGGGCTGAACCAGGATCAACTACTTCTTGACCCGTCTGGTTCGAGGGCTGAATTCAAGCAAATGCCAGGTGAAACCAGCCCCAACCCCTTACACACACACATACTCCAACTTGAACACATTCACGCATGTCTGCAAGAAACATGAAGCATTCAAGTGCAGTACTAGACTTAGGGTAAAGACCTGAACTGCTGGAGTCAGGGCCATGTTGGGAGATGACAGGCTGCTCCTGTAGGGCTCACAGGGTAATATGTGCACTGTGACATGGACAGTGTCTCTCCTCCTTACCCTGAACTCACGGAGGAATCAGTTTGGTATAAGACACAAAATCCGTTTCACACAAGGATGCTTAAAGGAGTACAGATTGCATTACCAACGCAGCTGGATAGTAAATGGCACAAAGTAGATGTTCAATAAATGATACTTACTAAGCTTGAATAACTCCATTTGGGGTCACTTTTGAGGATGTTTCCATCAGTCCGATCCTGGCTGCAGATTTACATCTAATATTTAAGGCAAGATGTCAGGAACTGGACACCCCCAGCCTGGCTATCCCAGCACCCTGTCCTGGCACGCACACCCTCTACTTCTACAGTAGACATATATGTGGACACACATGCATGTGCACACACATACAGCTCCAGCTAGCAGTATGCTTTAGGATCGTGATAGTTTACTTTCCCTCCCATCTGACCTCATACAAAACCACTTCTTCGCCACCTCCCTGACCCTGACTATACACACTCCGTCCCCTACCCTGACTCCCATTCTTTCCTCTTTCAATTACAGAGCTCTTTTAAACCACCTCAAACTTAAATAAATACCAATCTGGAAGTCTGAAGCATGCTCCAGTCAGTCCATCGGTCCCCGATGGAAGCCCGCACCCCAGCCCCTGCCAGCTCCCCAGAACTGTGAAGCCCAGTGGCCCTGGTGCAAGGCTGGCACATGCAGAGAAAACAAACACGTGGAGTCTTGCCAGCTGGATTGGGCACCACTGTTTACAGCAGAAGCAAAGTGTGGAGAATTGGAGATGCTTGATGAAGGGAGGGAGCAGCAGAGCGGTGGAGGTCATTCCAGCCTCCTACTCCCAGGCTCCACCACCTGCAGAGACGGTCTCTGCCGAGGTTCTGCCACCCCCAGGTGTCGGACAAGACAGCCATCCATCACAGTGGGATTAATACCATTGCTGTGCTGCAGGCAAGCTGCAAAAGTCTGTGAGGGCAGAGAAGCAGCTATCTACTTACTGTTACGTGCGCAGCACCAATCACCGTGCTTGGTTCATACTCAGAGTGCGGTGAGTATTTGCTTATTACATGAATAGGTGAACGTTTTTTCTGCGTGTCCCATAAAGTTATAGATGGATGCACAATGGAAGGATAGTGCTAAAGGGGAGATTAGCAAGGAATGCCTAAGACAACACTTCCACAAACCTACCAGACGTGAAAATGTGCTTCAGAGCTGTACCAAAAGTAATTTAGGAAAAGGCTACGTTATAAACATTTTATCAGGTTTCTTTACTGCAGGCCTTTTCAGAGCCTTTAACATGCTATTATATAGCATGAGTCTCCAAGAAGGGGTAAAACCACAGACCTGGAACTGACTACAAGCCTGGAATTATTTGAGAGCACCATTTTTTTTCTCAGAGTACCATTAGTAAGGAGAGCTTTACCAAACACAGTTTTGGAAATGCTGGCCTACAGAATGACTCAAAAGCAACTTGCAAAACAGCATGATCCTGCCGAGCCTTGGTGGCACTCACCTATAATCCCAGCACTCGGGAGGCTGAGGCAGGAGGATCACTTCAAAGTCAAGGTCAGCCTATGCCACTTAGTTTTAGTGAGTTCGAGCCCATCCTGAACTACACAGCTTTGGAGACTTTGTCTCAAGCAACAACAAAACAAAGAAAATAACCATGATCCCATTTTTGTAATTAAAGATAAAGGTTATATATTAAAATGCAGTGTATAAGTATTTGGATTGTCATAGAAAAAGGTCAAGAGATATGTAAACTTTAACACTGGTTTCCTCTGAAGATTAGGAGATCTGCACTTAAGTTAAATACTTCAGAAATATTTAAAGTAGGGCTGGGAGTGCTGCTCAATAATTGGGCCTTGGTCCTATCCTAGTACTAAAAAGAGAAATATTCAAAATAGAGATGTAGTAGCACTTTCATAATTAGAAAGACAGATGCGGGGGCCAGGGATTTAGCTCAGTGGTTCTGGTGCCTGCCTCGCAAGTACAAGGACCCAAGTTCGATCCCAGGTACAAAAAAAAAAAAAAAAAAAAAAATGGGGCAGAGCTGCCCTGAAATAGTATATGTCATCGCTGATATTTTATCTTCACATAAGCCTGGGGGCCTCACTTCCCAATAATCCCTTGGACCACAAGTTGCTGCTCCTTGTCCCAGGGTCACACCTAGACTCTGCCGTGTGTAATCCCAACAATCAACTTCTCTGCCTTCTATGAACACCCACCTACCTGCCAGGACCCTGCTGCTTTCACACAAAGCTGACACCAATTTTGAAAAACAGTGAAAATGCACTTAATATTTTTGTTACTAAACTTTAGAGATTTTTTGTTTTTAACAACTTTACTTTGGTTAGTAAGCTGTACACACTACATCGTGTAGTACTCAGTTTGATGAAATTATCAAACATTGAACATATTAACATTTAAAGAGTGCCTTTCCTTCTGCTAAATTACCAAGTTCATACTAATTGGTAGATGCAATTAAAAACCATTGAGATTTATTATCTATTATGTAGATTATGTAATAATCTAGGTTTTGTCGCAATATGTGATATATATTACTCTCAACTTTCCCCAGATATTATCTGCACTTTCAGCTTTCTACTTGTCTTTTCTTCCCCCAGAATAAAGACCAAAAAGAGGCCACCATTGCAAAGAAAAGAGCATCTACTTTATGGACCAAGACAGCCTCCACAGTTGTAAAGGGGACACTCAAACAGGAATCTGAGCCACAGGCACCTACCTCTGCCTGCTGGAATTCTAATCACTTACTTCAAGGGCCCAAGCGGCCTGGGCACCAAGGAAGTCTCCAGTGGGCAGGAATGTTTCCCAAGCAAACAAATTTAATGCCTGTGCTTCACAGCCTGAAAAGCCATTAACAATCCCCTTTTAAAAGTCGGAAAGATACTGAAGGGCTAATAGACAACAAGGTGCAACAGGTATTGGCTATCCAGGAGTCACACCCACCTAATAGCAGCTGGGACCGGCCACAGGGCTTTGGCTGCCCTAGAATGGGCTGTCTGATAACCCAAAGGGTTAACAACTCAGCCTCCAGCTTCTGGTCTTCCTCATCCCCACAGTGGGGAGAAGACTCCCTCCCTCCAGCCTGAGAGGCCCACCCTGGTCCCTCCTTGGTCTTCGCTCTCCAGGAATGAAGCTGCCTGCTGCCCAACATATACCAGATTGGTTTCATCTCCTTCCAAATCCATTTTGTGTCTTAACTTCTGCCAAGAATAAAAATGAAAACACACACACACACACACACACACACACACACACACACACACAATCATGCGTGCATGGGAGAAGACTGGGCTGGAAGTTTAAACTGAAAAAGACCAGGGAGAGGGAAGAGAATCAGGTTAGCTGCGAAAAGTCGATGCCTGGACACTTCTCCTGGGCCTGTCATAAGCCAGCATACCCTGTGTGTTAGTTACTTTTCTCTTGTGGCTGAGACAAAATTCCGGACACCCAACATTAAAGGAGGAAAGGTTTATTTAGCTCACGCTTGTAGAAGCTTCAGTCCCAAACTGGCTGGCTTCTAGGCAGGGTGGAATGGCAGAAGGGCAACGGTTCACCGCAGAAGATGGCAAAAGCAGCAAGGTAAGGGGGAGGGGTCCTCAACAGTCATTCTGCTCCTTTTTATTTTACGCAGATGACTTGGGGCAGGTAGTACTCACACTCTCAATCCTTGTGCCCTGGAGCCTAGCATCATCACACCATAAACCAAATCCAGAAAAAGTTAAACCTATGACTGCCTGAGGCTTTGGGGGGACATCAAGACACAAGCCATAACACCCTGCCTGAGGACTCTGCCAGCTAAGCAGACCCTAGGGCCAGATCTAAGTGTGACCCTCTTGGTCTCCCCAAAACCCCATTTAATGCACTTTAGCAGCCCACCCCTACTCCACCCAGCTGTGCCTCAGAGCAGCTCAGCTCATACTAGCTGAAGCAGATCCCACATCCCAGCAGTAGGAAGAGCCTAGTTCTTTGCCTGCTCTCTCTTGCCAACTCCAAAATGGATAATACAGTACGTGTAATTGAAAGGGACTGGGTGGTACAGGTACCTTGTGGGATATTCCCTAGGATCTGCAGTCAGACACCTGAATCTGGGGGCCAGGCAAAGAGCGGCTCTGCTTCCAGAACTGGTGAGTCTCTATCTTCCCCACTCAAGACTGGAATAACAGCCCTCACTCAACGCTGTGTATCATCATCTGCATTTCCCTGCTCCCTCAGCGTGGTAGGTGATCCAAGCTCACACTGCATAACTCTGTCCAGAGGGAAGTCCATTGTCTTAGGGAATCATTTGCCTCATAAGTCAATGTGTTTATTGAACATCCATTAAATACCTGGCCCTGAGAATCCACGGTAAAGTGGGAAAGTTCAAATTGTCAACTTCTGCTAAAGAGACACAGAAGATCCCAGAGTCCCGCAGAATAACTGGGAACCAAACCCAAGTGCCCTGGGTGGGTTTTTTCCACGCCACTACCAGGAAGTGAGAAGATTGGACCATATTCTTCTTTTGGAAGGAGAAACCTTGTGATATCCACCTTTGTCTTGTGTCGCACATAGCACAGGAATGGAAACAAAACAATATTTGAAAAAGATTTTCCTTGTTTAACTTGATAATTGTTGAATGTAGGGAATGGGTATGTGGGAAAGTAAAATATCCCACCCCAGCTAGATGCCTTGGCATATTTAAAGTTGGTTATTGAGACAAACTGCAGACCTCTGCAGATACAGGAATGGCTCTGAAAAACTCTCCTTTTATAGAATGAAACGTCCATCTGTCTACATTAGAAGGTAAACAGTACATTTGGGCAAGATTTTTTCTATCTGCTCTCCCCAACAATCACACCAAAATCTTCCATGGAAAGGAGAGATTGAGCTCTGACGCCTGGACACCTGGCCCACCCAGAGATGACACAGGTGATGCCGGGTGGCTGTCTCCTGAGACTTCGTCTGCATAACAAGACAACCCCAGCTCACTGTCACATCCTCCCCTAACCTCCTGTGGTCCCTCCGTGCCACCTTCCTTTCCCCAGAAGCCAAGCCCCTGTGCCTTTGCTAAGCTCTGTAAAGGGTCACCCTCTTGCCCCAGAGTCTCATCCTTCTGTGCTTTGAGTCATGTAATAAAATTTGTATGTGCTTTGTCATGTTGTCTATCGTCAGTTTGTTTCACAGACTACAATTATTAAACCTTCAGAGGAGAACATAATACATATAAAATTTCTCTACATGTACATGGGGTTTA